ATGAAAGCCTGGCTCCGAGCTGGAATATATGTGGCTGTTATGGTGGCGGACGCGAGGAGATGTTGTATTCTTAAGATGAGGGGGTTATGATTTGAGAGAAATATGTATGGAATAAAATGAAATGTGATTAAAATAACACTCCAAGTAAGTCTTTTATTATTTTCACTGCATTCATGATTTGGGTGTGTATGTACGTTCTCTTGACGACATGGAGATGTTAGTATTATGGCATCAAACGGCAATAGACCACTGCACATTTTTCATACATACTCATGATTTCTAAAAAAAAAATGCAGTATGTAACCTTTGAGCAAAAAAAAAAAAAAAAAAAAAAAGGACTAAAATAAAAACATGCATCCTTACTCTGAGTGATCATGCATCTACACAAACCTGATTCTTATTTGGCTTGGAGTCATATTTTGCTCGTCTGTAATGAAAGATTTATGATCTTCGCTGTGAACTTGAATCATAGCTAAAAATTGTGGTTTGTAGGTCCCAGAGTGACACCGGGTCAAAGATCAAACTCTGAACCGAAGACGAGCTGAGACTGATATCAAACCTGTCTGATCATTTGTAATCTTAGTGCAGTCTGAGCCTTCCTCTCTCCATGTCTATTATCAGTATTTGCGACCAACAGACCACCTAACTGACCCATCTCTCATCGATTCCCTTTCATCGATGCACTTTTATAAACGCCAGAACACTCTAGCCTCAGCTAACCTTTACAGTTATGGACACGTTAGCACACTGAACCTGGAGATACCTCAGACAAACTTTGGTCTTTTCCACGACAGATCATGTACATTGTCGCAGTGTGTCTGTGCCTTGGACGATTTATAGTTCCTAACATCATGTAGCGACATTGAACAATCTTTATGAGATGAAACAAACGGAGGACACCAGGCTGGACTTGCATTTAGTAAATTATTGGTGCTTTTTTTGCCTTAAAATAGTGGATTTTTCCTGTGAGCCGGCTTGCCCCTCAATAGATCTAACCTATACTCAAACACAACAGATTCCAGGCACTCCAAACAAGTAGAAAAAGTAAAAAATCGCACAAGGAAAAATATAGTGAAAAGGCCTTTTAACTACATTTTTCCCCTCGTGTGATTTTTTACTTTTTCTATTTGTTTGGAGTGCCTGGAATCCATTGTGTTTGAGTTTTGATCCTTTTTCCAAGAGCACCCTCTACCTGCTCCTTCTGATTGGAACACCTGCAGCAAACAGCCACCTTTTTGTTCTTTCTGTACAGATCTAACCTATAACTTGGCCTGGTGAAGTTTGTTGGCGTACTGTGGAACATTCTAAGCAAAGCAATAACATCACCAAGGAGACGAGCAGGTGGCAGACCCTACGCCATGTCTCAAACGCAAACTTGAATAAATCTGGAAATACAAACTGCAAATATGTTCTTGTATAAAATCCTTGTTTAGTAAAAACGTTTTGTGCAGTAAAACAATTACCTTTTTAATCTATATTTCAGGACAGAGACGTTGAAGAGACTGAGACAAAAGGCCAAATGCTGCCATATTGCTGTGGGCAGTGAGTGGCCGAGTGAGCCTGTTGCCATGGCGAAGCTAGTTGGACGGGGGTCAAGAGAGTATAAAACATTTTAATTTTTCCGTAAAAATGATGAAGGCCTTTGGCGGAGGGGGAGCGGGACCATTATCTCAGCCGCAGATAATTGCGGTGGTTGAAGCTGGGGCTATAAAAGTGTCCATTTGAACTTTGACCCTGGCATGTCGTGGCACACTTGGCTGTTTAATGTCCTCTAATGATCTACTGCTACCCCTATGTTAGCATATTGACAGAGTATTTATAGAGCCTAGATATAATTCACATAAAGTGTACGGGCACAACCTCTATAAAAACTCCAAAGAGGTACCGGCAATGGTAAAAAGGAGACATGTATGAGGAATCCAACTAAAAATCTTCTGGTTCTAGGGTTAATTCTTTAGCATTACAATACTAAACATTTTACAGATCTACACAAACTAAAGCACTCACGACTTACAAAAAAATTAATCAAAACAAAACAAAAAAGCTGAAAATGACTACTTAAAGGTGCAACGTGTTACTGTGTTACTGCTTTGCCCAGGATATTCCACAGTATGGCATTAAACATACTGTACTAATCTCCATTTAGACAAGCAAGACATACGGCCAGGTCAAATTACAGGTCAGATCAGTGGAGAGGCGATCCCGCACACAGTAAGAATGCATGTTTTTGAAGGTATTTTTGAGTAATAATACATCGTAACAGAGTAAATTAAGGATAAATAAGTTTAATGCATTTCTGTGGAACATTCCAGGCTTCCATGGAGACAAGTAGGTGATGGACTCTTTACTCAGAAAGTTACATAGTTCACCTTTAAAGCCCCAGTATGTAACTAGAATAAAATAAAAGCATATGGTTTTTCACCTTTCACCTTGGTTGTGTTACTGCACTGAAAACATGCTTTTCTTACTCCGAGTGGGCTTGCATTTCCATAAACCTGACTCTAATTTGGCTTGAGAAGGGGCTCTTTTGGGTTGTTTCCATGGAAATGTTGTTACTTAGGCTATTGAAGGGTTTCAGAGACAGATTTTCCTATTGATTACATTGTTTTTGCTGTAAAATATCCAAAAGTAAAATATCCAAATGTTGAATCTGATCATATATTTTAGCAACTACCCTAGATTACAAAAAAACCCTTCATTTTAGCAATATCTACTTTAGTTGCCCCCATCTGTTATAAATATTGATGTATAAAATGTTGTGATGTCATCCAAAAATCTGTAAATAAGGTATAGTATGGCATAAAACGTGTCTATCTACATGAAGAATTTTTTGAAGTCTGGCTTTTACTTTCTACTACCATGGAATGAAAGAAAAAAAAAGTTTTTTTTTTTTTTTACCTCTAACTACTAATACTATTAATTATACTGTAGCACTAACGCGGCCATACAAACAGTCAAAAACATGTCAAGATACCCTTCTGTATTTGAAGTTTACAAAACTCCTAGAACAATGTGTCCAGAAGATAAAAGCGTACTGAGAAACATCATTAACTTCTTGTGAATGGCTCTTTTCCAGTAATTTCTTTCACTATCACGGTGATCTGCCAGTTTAAAAGCACTCTCCACTCAAGATTAAAAAAAAAAAAAAAAAAAAAAAAAGATATTTCAAATCCAATACGTTTTCACTTACCATGTCAACCCAGCAGCATCTCTACTGACATGTTTACAGCATCTGAGCCCCTTCATACACTCTCACTATTGTAGTTTTCATAAAGAGGAAAATCCTGGTATAAAAAGGACTTACGTGTAAAGGCCAAGGATCTCCACACGCTCACTGTGTTCAAATACAGATCAATGCAACCGTAAAATCCATATTACCTATAGAATATTAGCCCATTATTAAAGGCAGTCTTCCTCGTGGCCTTGTGTATTGTATTCCACATCTGAGAAATACTTGGAGTGGACTATAGACACAGATTACCACCTTGTAATGTAAATGATTGGTTAGATGGAAGCCACAGAGATCGAGATTGTTTCATCAAGTATAAGTTAGCCTCAAGTCAAACCAACGGACATTTGAAGATGTTAACAAGAACTTTTTAGGATAATGCATCTCTATGGACAGTTTACGAGTTTGCAACAAAGACAGTGGATATGCAATTTAAAGGTGCACTCTGTAGTTTTGGACAGAGTGTGACATTTGCTTGATTCCACAAAAATAGTTAAAACCATACTTTGGAACATTCTTCATTGGGCTGGGTATCATCAAGAAGTTGTCGATACCTCAAGACATAGGCCATGATATAATACTTTTTTTGATACAGTGCACTTTTGATTCAGTATGATTCGATGATATATTTCAAATCAATTTGATTTATTTGTAAAAAATAAAAGCTAAATCATGGCTGTGATACTAAAACTCTTCATTAAACAACTAAGTGTGCAAAGTTAAGATGAAAAACGCCCATTTTACTCATCAAAACAGCGGCAACCCTACTGTTAATCTGATTCATCAGCCGGTTTCACTTCATGGAAACCGTCTGACCTCTCAGCATTAGGATTCGTTCGCTTGACGGTAAGCGGGTACTTTTTTAAAATTTAACCAATTGCTTCTATTTGGTATTGAGGTATGTAATGCGCCACTAACTGGGCTAAATCGTATATTAAGCTTATCCCAAATCCCGTAGGAAGAATGGCAATAACGTTTTTCCTGTTGATAAAATTCACCAAACATTCTCTTTATTCTGGCATTAAATCCTCCCTCTCTGGAATCGTTGTCAACTCAGAATGTATGGCTCTTCGCTGATTGCCTGATGCCCAAACTCACACTTCCGGGGTTCTTGCAAACCATCTAGTGTATTCCAATTCCTGACCTAGTCGCTGGAGAGAAACGAAATTGAGTGGAGGCATTAGGTGGCACCAGCCTGGCTACCCAACTTTAGCTCTTTCACAAAATAATTTAGTTAAAAAATATGTTAAATCGAAACAGCAGCTCACGGTATCGATACTGTATTATCAAATTAAATGATATGATATAGCGATATTTCAATATTTTTGCACACCCATATCCACACCCCTTCATAGAGGTGGACGATTATAGTCAAAGAAACAATATTTCCATGGACTCAAGCAGGGAAAGGCTCTCCTCCAGGCCAAATAAGAGTCAGGTTTGTGGAGACACAAGCCTGCTCACATTAAGAACAAATTCCAACGAAAAAGGAAAAAAAAAACACACACACGTGGTTTTATTTTAGTCTATTTTTTGGCTATAAAGTTACATACTGTGGCTTTAAATACTCTTTTGGCAAATGCATCTCCATGGAGAATTTACCAGATTGCAACAAAGAGGGCGGATTTTGTTGCAGCTTAAAATAAACCAGCAGATTGTTTGGACATTACACAGTTAAGATGCCTAAAAATCTTAACAACTTTATACTGTAAATGTAAAAGTGCAGTCAAATCCCATCGCTGCCATTTGTAATAAAAAGAAGTCATCTTACCAAACACTTTGAGAAACAGCTCCCTCTCCTGGACGCCCGCTTTATTGGTGGCACGGCACGAGTACGTCCCTCCGTCTGATTGCCGAATATTCCTGATGGTTAGCATGCTCCTCCCTCCTTCTAACCGACTCAGGATGTACTGCTCCGAGGGCTCCAACTGCTGGTTTTTCCTGCAAATGAAAGAAAAACATCACATAGACACATAGACCTGTTACAGACTTACAAACCTGTAATCTGAGCACTTAAGACATCCTCTGATCCGTTAAGTGCACATCGCTACACTTCCAAGGTATTTACGGTGATGGGAAAATCAAAAGCTGGCTACTTTTTTGTGAAAGTAAAACATTGTATTGGGTCGAAGTAAAAATACTCCATTGGATCAAAGTAAAATGTTGTATTGAGTTAAAGCAAAAATACTGTTGTGCATTGAGTCAAAGTCAAAGTGGATTAATTTAGAATACTGCATTGACCTAAAGTTAAATACTGCATTGAGTTAGAGTAAAATACTGCATTGACCAAAAATTAAATACTGCATTGACCGAAAGTTAAATACTGCATTGACCAAAAGTTAAATACTGCATTGACCAAAAGTTAAATACTGCATTGGGTTAAAGTAAAATACAGCAATAGGTCAAAAATAAATAAATAAATAAACAAAAATACTGCATTTAAGACTAGTGGTGGATGAAGTACTCAATTCTGTTGCTTAAGTAAAAGTACAGATACAGGGGCAAAAGATTACTCAAGTAAAAGTAAAAGTATCACATGACAAAAATCGACCCAAGTATCTCGGGGTCTTGTTCACGAGTGAGGGAAGGACGGAACGTGAGATTGACAGGCGGATCGGTGCAGCTTCGGCAAAAGTGATGCGGTCGCTGTATCGGACCGTTGTGGTGAAAGGGAGCTGAGTCGAAAAGGCGAAAGCTCTCGATTTTGCCAGCAAGTAAAGCATCAAAATGGTCAGTGATTTTGATTTGTAGTGATTCGGAAGGACAAATCGCGGATACAAGCGCTACGAATTTTTTAAGGGTTTCTAGGCTGCTCCCTTTAGATAGGGTGAGGAGCTTTCAGTTTGCACGGGAGGAGTTGGGAGTAGAGCCGCTGCTCCTCCAATTGAGAGGAGCCAGTTAAGATGTGCTAAAAAATAAATCCTCAGCCATTTCAGCAGGTATTAAAGGCCCCGGGGAAAGACCCAGGACACGCTGGAGGGACGATGTCTCTCGGTGGAACTTTTCAATCAGGATTCAAAATGTAGTGAAGGTGAAGAAAGTCTGGGAGTCCCTGCTAAAGGCTGCTCCCCCAAAAATAGTGAAGTAAAACGAAAAATGGATGGATGGAAAAAGTACAGGCACCTAAAAATTGTAACTTAAGTATTGTATTTTTACTTTTGTACTTTGTTATCGTCCAACACTGATTAAGACTTAATCTTTTAAGTGCACATTACTACACTTCCAAGGTATTTACCGAGATGGGAAAATCCAAAGCTAGACTTTTTTTTCTGACTTGTTTTGGAAGTTTAATTGAAATGACTGGAGCCGCTCAGAAGATTTGTAGGGTGGCATCGCGAGTCCCGGCACGTTGAAGACTCCAAACTTTGCCATGCGGAAAAAATACAGTCTTTAAACTCCGAGGGTGTTCGGTTATGGAAGAGGGAGCTAGCTAAATGGCTTTTGAGTGGGGCTGTGAACGCTAATGTTGCTACTTATTGAACATGAGGATGAAATGTGTTTTGACGATACAATGGTGGATGGATGTGTGTCTGTTTCATTTGCTAATTTGGTCATTTGTTACTAAGGGAAACAAGAGCGCTGCAAACTTTCAATAGCTTTAAATGTCAAAGCTGTTTTGCTAAAGTGATGCAAAACTCGTCGCTACTATAAAACTAGATTCCTCTATCCTCTTGTATTACCATTACAGATATTTGGAGTTTTTCGCATTTTGATCATCAGCCTTCAATCTCCAGAAGAGGCTGAGATTGGGTTTGGCTAATCTACTACTTAAAGACTAAACATGAAGCTTAAAGATGCACTGTGTAACTTTTCGGGTGGTGGGTCCATCACTCGCTTGTTTCTATGGATACACCATTGCTCTGCCTGGAATGTTCTACCTTACATTTATTCAGTTACAGGTGGTTTTATAGCTCAAAAATACCTTGAAAAACAGGGATTCTGGCTGTGAGCAGGGTCGCCTCTTCACAGATCTGACCTGTAATTGGTTTGGGTTCATCTCCAAGAAAATAGAAAGGTTCAATACTATACTATGAAACTTTCCAGACATTCTAAAGCACAAACATTTCCACGGAGAAAAGCATTTGACAGGCCTTACAGCAAAAAAGTTACGCAATTCATCTTTAAAAGACTTCAGTGTGAAAAAATAACTGCTTAAAAGTGACAACACAGCTGTCTCTCTCTTTGTGGCTGAATTTGTAATAAATTTAAATTACATTATAATTATTGGGGGAAAATAATCCAAATCATTCATAGATAGCCAAAAAAACAATATCAGTCGATCTTCAACTACCACCTCATGAGTAAAACCTGACCAGACAATGTCACTACTCATACAGAACAAGAATCCTCCATCCTCTTCTATTACCACCTCAGGAGCAAAACTTGTGAAATATCCTTCCACTGACCCATCACCACCTCAGCTCGCCGTCCGAAGAGTCACTCCAACTGAAGAAATAGACCTTAAGTCCCAATGCTCCACAGTGGACAACATGCCAGGTTTATTTCACTTTGAACTCCTCCGCACAATGCTCTCTTCAGCGTGGAGGCCAGTGTTATGGTAGGATTGGTAAAAGCTCTTGGACAGGTCAGACGTGTTCAAATGGAAACCAGCAAGCCCACTCAAAATGGCCACTTTGTAGTTTTGTATGTTGTACTATGTACTTTTTCACATGACAGTAATTGAATAAGTAAATTCTAAACAATCATCTTATAATTGGTGATTTTTATTTTTAGTATATCTTTTTACTGAATTCACAATTGCACATGTGTTGCATAAAAGAGGCTGTAAGTTGACCAACAATTTAAATATATTGTGTTTGCTTGTTACTTAGATCAAAATGAAATACTGAATTGGGTCAAAGTTAAATACTGCACTGACAGTTATAGGGACAGTCTGGAATTTTGGACATAAGACCTCATTTCCTAGTTAGTCAGAGTGTTAGAGATGTGTGGAGACACTTTTTAAAGTATTCCATCTCGTCCTTGTATTTGCAGAGGTCGCTGGTGCTAGGCTAGTGCATGTCAATAGCCATAGTTATCCTGCCACTAAAAACAGTCTTATCCACTCCACAAAACACCCAAAGCAAAATAATTATAATGCCAGACTGTCAATGTAAATGTCTGTGTGAATCATTTTAGAAATAAAACCAACCTTGCATTTGAAGAATTTACATCTGAGCAGCAGCAACAGCGAGTTGCTCTTCCTGATAGAAAGCTTGGCAGCGGACTGATATATGAGAAAATGGTCCCTGAACATGCAACGATTCATCCAATGCAAGGTTGGTTTTATTTCAAACACTATTCTAACAACACAGACCTTTTAGATGGATAGTCTGGCGTAATAATAGATTTGCTTCAGGTGTTTTGTAGAGTGGGTAAGACTGTTTTTAGTGGCAGGCTAACTATGGCCATTGACATGCACTAGCCTAGCACCAGCGACCTCTGCAAATACAAGGACTGGATGGAATATTTTAAAAAGTGTCTCCACACGTCTCCAACACTCTGGCTCACTAGGAAACCAGGTCCAATGTACAAACTTCCAGACTGTCCCTTTAAATACTGCATTCACCTAAAGTTAAATACTGCATATCTGTACCAGTTTTGGTATCGGCTGATATTGGTACTAATTCTTCTAGATCAGGGGTCGGCAACCCAAAATGTTCAAAGAGCCATATTGGCCCAAAAAAACAAAAAACATACCTGCCTGGAGCAGCAAAAAATTAAAAGCCTTATATAAGCCTAATATGAACGCAACATAGGCTGTCAGTGTATTAGCTATATAAACCCTACTATTAAAATGACTAAGTAGGCTACAAATACAAAATGAGCATTCATGATTACACAAACCCCTTTTGCGACCCTCTCATACTCGGTGCGCCGTCTGTAGACCGACGTTTACCTGTTGCTTTGACGACGATGATGGAAGTATTCAGAGCAGCAGTCGCATTTCTTCTGATCGTGCATAGGAGCACTCATAAAACAGCAGCATGTACAACTTTCTACGCAACATCAGAAGCTCTGAGCTCGGGCAGCAGCGCCAAATACACGGGAGCAGTCAGCGCGCAGCTCCTCAAGACGGGGCTGGGGGTCCAGTGTTGGTCAGATTGTCCGGAGGTTTCGTCCTCCGTGTCCTGGTTCCAGATGGGGGCGAGCAAGACCAGCGTGCAAAGGACTGGGTCCGAGCGGTTCCGCGTCGTCCTCTGTGCGCTGGTTCTGTGCGGGAAAAGCGAGAATGCGCTGTGGACCACAGGTCCGGGCGGGCTGCTCCGGTCCTCCACGCTCGACCGCGGCCTGGTTCCGAGGTGGTGCAAAGCATCCAGACAGAAGCATGAATCCAGTTTGTTTCATTATATGTTGTTCTGAGCGTCCGTCTGCGCACGTGTTTTTTTTGTTTTTTGTTTTTTTTTCGGGGAAAACGCTTCTCAGGTGGAGGCACCGGACACCACCCCCCGCTTCAGCTCATCTGTTTGTTCTGCTGAAACACTTTTCCTATGTTTGCGTTTGCACACACAGCTGATGGATCAGATCCATGACCAGAGATGAACGAGGGTTTTACCCCTAAAGAAACCAGATTAAAACAACAACAACAAAAAATCATTCCTTTTCCATTTTCACTCATTTTTGAAAAAGCTCCAGGGAGCCACTAGGGGAGTGCTAAAGAGCCGCATGCGGCTCCAGAGCCGCGGGTTGCCGACCCCTGTTCTAGATATATATATTATATATATATGCAGATATCTTTTCTTCTCGATACTGAGCACTGCCCCGCTCACTGTGTGCCCTTTTTGAACCAACTAATGAGTCAAAATAGAAATAGAAAAACATTATATGGCAGTATTTTATATGTGATCTTTACTTTAAAGTTAAATAATTCTTGAAAAGATAAACTTCAGTATCAGATATTGGTATTCTCTCAAAAATCCATCTCTAAAAATTGTTGAAGC